CCAATAATTTTTGTATTTAAAACAAATACCATTTATAGTTGGCTCAATTAAAAATTATTTGGTTCAAATAAATATTTATTTGATAATAATCAAGTAAATTGTTTTATCTATAATATCAATGAATATCACTGATTTTATTATTTTTATAATGTCATCTAATATCATTATAGCAATTTTTTTAGAATACTAAAAACAATAATTATTTAATATATGAAAAAAAAAATGTATTCTTTTACTAGTGTTAATTTTTTCACTAGTGCCATTACTCTATATTTCATTAATGCAAATTATTTTATTCTTTTTATTTAAATATTAAAACAAATTTTATCGATTTCTTTTTTTTTTTTTTTTTTTTTACTAAAATATTACCAATTCTTACCATTTTTAATTAATAAATTATATCACTTTTCCAATTAGATTTATCCTGAATACAGTAGAATTTTTAATGTAATAACCGGGAATGACTGTAGATGGTTTTTATGAGTCACAAAACCATCAATATAATAACAAATTTTGAAAAAGCCGCCGAAAAAGAAAGGAATTTTCAATATTTTCATATTCACATTACAATTATGTATTATAAATATATATATATATATATATATGTGTGACGCGCTTTAAAAAAAGTAACGAATTATAAATTATGTTTACGACAGTTTTAACTTTTGAATATTTTCGATGTAATGAGAACTTGATTTGTATTGAAAGTTGATTATTTTCACTTAAAAATTTCAAAATATATTCTTTTTGCTTCTAAGGTCCGCCGTTGTTTTTTTTTTCAAAACGCGTCACATATTTATACTTTTGTCCAGCAATTTATCTTGTCGTATAAACAGTAAGTGTAACAAGTATACAATGACAATTTGTGATGTTAAAAAGATGGTTAATTATTTCTATATGTATTTTATGGACGCATTATACATTCACTGCTCTTTCTTTGATCAACAAATTTTGTTACATAAAAATGTTTTTTTTTTTTTTTAACAACATTTCAATATTATAGAAATATTGTCAATAAAAAACGTTTTCTTGAATTTTACTTAAAATCTGCCATACTTAAAAAAAGAACGACTGCTATTATCTATAAGAATTTTATTATATATATATATATACTTCGGATATTTATAAAAAAAAAAAATTTTTTTGGTAAAAATATATTTTTTCAATTAAAATATTTTTTTTAAATATGTTTTTTGAAATAATTAAAATTGATCTCTTTACAAAATACATTTTTTTTTTGAAAAATAATCAAAAATTTTTTGTTTTTACAAAATGTGTATTATTTCAGAGAACAATATATGAATAAAATAGAAAATTGTTAAAAAGCTCAATAGACAAGAAAATTTTTTTTTTATAAAAACATTGTATCGCTTAATATTTTTCACTTAGCGATTTAAAACAAATGAATGTTAATCAGGCAAAAGTAATTTTATAGCAAAAATAACAGAAAACAACACAATTTACAACATTCAACAAAAAATTTTAATCAGTTTCCTCCCAAGATTCCTACAGATTTTTTTTTTTCAAAATTCACACAGCAGCTTTTTTTTCTTAATTTCTTAATTCAAGAACAGTTTTTTTTTTTTTTTTACAATTATACACTTTATTAAAAAAAAAAATTAAGATTCTGTAGTAATCCTGTTAATTTCGATTGTTGACGAAAAAACACTTTTCAATTTTCATGTTTTTTTTTTTTTTTTTTTTTTAAGGGAGGGCCATTCTTAATAGAATTTTCCTTTTTGTATGAACAAAACTTCTGAGCAAAAAAGAAAAAAATGCCCTTCGATTCAAACAACTTACTGCTCAAAAAAAGAACATTTTTAAATGTACAATAAGTAAATGACAATCACACACCTGTTTACAATATAACTCGCTAAGAATTTTTTTTATTTAAATTTTAATATCTTAGAAAAATAATGTTCAGTGAAGTCTTTTAAATTTTCATGATATGTTAAATAATGATTGAAATCACATATATATATATTTTTTTAAATAAAACCGAATTCGGTATTTTAATAAAAAAAAAGCATCAATATATGAAAAAAGTAAATCTTTTATCAAAATTAAATTTATTCACACTAATGAAATAAAGTTCTTAGTACATTACATATATATATATAATTACATTTTGAGCAGTATCGACATAGCATTAATGCTAATACCCTAAAATTATTACAACTATTAATGAAAATATTTTAAATATTGGCTGAACCATGTATCAAGAATAAACATTTATTGAAAATAGCCTTAGTTTTTCGTTACTTAAAATAGCCCGTCTATTATCTAAATGGATATACACATATATATATATACTATATATATATAAAGATTCGTTTCTAGAAGTAATGAAATTCTACTATACGATGAAATGAAAATGGCCCTCCCAAACAATTTTGAGTGAAATTAGACTGATGTATTTTTTTTTTTTTTTTTTTTTTTTCCTTCTTTTAGAAATTGTCCTATGACTATTTTCGGTTAATAATAATAGAGATGTGCGAATCAATTAAAATTATTTTCAATTAATATTATTTCAAATCAAAATAACAAATTAAAAATATATCATTTGATTACGAAACTAATATTTCGATTTAACGTGAAAATTTCATATTTCAGAAATGTAATTATAAAAGTTATTACATGCCAGAAGCTGATAACGTCATTAAAAAAAAAAATTTATGACAAATTTTGCTAATTTTGTATTGATATTTTTAAGAAGGATCAAAACATAACATCAAAAAAAAATAATACTTTTACATTTAAAAAGAAAATAATATAAATTATTTTTATTATTTTTTTTTGAAAGAACAATAAATATAAATTTAAATCTAATTCTTTACAATAAATATTATTATTATTATTATTATTATATTATTGTTATTACAAATTTTGTCTTTTTCTACAATCTTGGTAAACAATTTTACAATTAATATAATTTTAATAAAAATAATAGCTCAATTTATTTATTGAAATATTCAATATTCAATATTCAAACTTTGCAATTTTCATGTTTTTTTTTTTTTAAGGGAGAACCATTCTTAATAGAATTTCTTAATTTTCTTAGAAAAAAAAACGAGTCATTATTTATTAAAATCAGATGAATATCATGTTTAAATAAATAAAATAAATGAATACCAAAATTAAAGAAAAATCACGAAATATAGAAAAAAAATTTGTTTAAATAAAAATTTATTTTTATTATTTTCATTATTAATTATTTTTATTATTAATGAAAAAATAGAAACAAAAAAAAATGTTTAAATACAAAATTATTTGTAGAATGTCCCTTAGTGAATAAAAATCAGCAATATTATTTATTAAAATCAGATGAAATGTAAGATTTTTTTTTACCAAAAAGTGAAAAAAAACACAAAATATGAAAATGAAAAAAAAAATTATTTTTAATAAAAAATTATTGTTCACAAAATTCTGTGGAATATCTCTTATAGTGAATAAAAATTAATTATTATTTGATTAAAATTAAATGAAATATAAAAATGTTTACCAAAAAAATGTGCCTGAAATTCTAAACGTTCAAATGAATGAAAAATTTATTTACTACTTTTTTAATTTCAAATTTTGTTTATAAAATATTGCATTCTGTATTCAAAATTAAATTAATAATTTACTAAATATTAAATATATTTTTTTATTTTTCATTACTGTAATAATTTTTAAATATTTATTTAAACTAAAAAAAATTATTTCACGTTCATTTGAACGTTCGTAAGTTCAGGCACATTACAAAAAAAATTGAAGAAAATTGTAAAATATATAAAAAAAAATATTTAAATAAAAAAATAAGTTTTTTTTTCATTATTAATAAAAATATGAAAAAAAAATTTTTTTAATACAAAATTATTATTCGCAAAATTCTCTAGAATATCGCTTAGTAAATAAAAATCAGCAATCATATTATTAAAATCAGATGAAATATAAGATTGTTTAACCAAAAAATTGAAGATAATGACAAAATATGAAATTATACAATAATTTAATTGAAATCTATTTTTTTTTCTCTATTTTTTCAAAATATATTATAAAAATTATTTCATAAACAGAAAAAAAAATTTATTTAATACAAATACTCGATTACTTGACTAATATCAAATAAATATTTACTTGAACCAAATAAATTTTATTTTAATTAAATAAATTTTATTTGAACCAATAATTTCTGTATTTGAAACAAATATTATCTCAAATAATAATTATATGATACAAATAAATATGTATTTGATATTAGTTAAGTAATCGAATATTTAAATCAAATAAACTTTTTTTTCAATTTATTTTCTAAATAATGTTTTTCGTTTGATATTATTTTTAGACATTGAATCACCTTTTATCAAAAACTTAAAATTTGTTGGAAAAAAATAATTTTTATACTTAATAATTAAAATTGTACAAATTAGGTATTTTACCTTTAAACTATAGCTGTCGATGTCTGGAGGGACAAAAAAATCAATTTTTCGATTTTACTATTTTTAAAAATAATTTTCAATTTCGTTAATTGCAGAAAAGTTATTCTCTTTAATAATATTATTTAAATTGTAAAATAAGGATTTTAATTAAGAAATTTAATAACAAAATAGAAAAATAAAATTTAAAGCTTCTTTTTAAGATACATAATTTGAATAGTTTTTAAATAAATAAAAGAAAATTAATGTTGAATCACTTAAAACACTTATTGTCATAAATTACGATTTTGTATATATTTTTAAATAAATAAATAATAATAAAAAGCAGAAGCAGTTAAATATATAAAATCATTGTTCCTCCAGAGATCATATGACGTTACAAATAACCCGAAAAAAAATTACGCTACTCACTTCTTGCATAATCGTATCATAAATTTTTTTAAAATTTCTATTGGTATTCAAAAATAGCGAAACGATATATTTTCCATGAAAAAAAAAAAAATTGATTCGAATTGGATATATTCGCACATCTCTAATTATTAAATGGGAAATAAAATTCTGTTAGTAACAAGTCTTTAGGAATATCCAAAGTAATATATTTATTAATGAATTAATATATATATTTATATATTTATTAAATATAAAATGATTGCAGTGATACGTATCTTATTTCAATGCACGTGGCTGAGGCCTTTTGCGTTGACTTCTACTGCTTGATGTAGTTTGATTTAATTGTTTGTTGATGTGCGAGTTTGTAGTTCTACGCTCTCTTTTGCCTAATCCTAGATTAAGATCCTCAGTATTGTTGTTTCCAATTTCAAGAGCTCTCCTCGAATTTCTAGTACGACCAGCCATGTTTTCCCATTCGTTAAATTGAGCCTGCAATCTTTCAGCCATTTCTCGATCCTCTTGTTCTTGACGAAGAAGCATTTCTATTCGTTTTTGCTCGTCAATAATTTCATCGTCAGTTGCTTTTTCTGTATTGCTATTATTTTGCTTTTCACTATTGTCTACAGTGTTAAAATCATCATTCACTTCCACCTCTTCTTCATCATCATCATCTTTTGCTTTTTCTTCTATTGGAGATTTTGTTTTTCGTCTTCTACCTCTTCTTTTATTTGCAATAGGTACCTCCCTCGTCAATTCTGGAGGTTGATTTCTTATTTTTGAATTTGAATTTTTTATTATTTCTGTTTCCTTTATTAATTTTGGAGCACCTTTTCTGGGACGTTTTCGTTTTGGTAATTCTTCATCGCCATCAGAAAATTCATCAAAACTTTCTGAACTTTCAGTGATGTATTTAATGGCAGTGGAACGTTTTCTTAGACTTCGTCTTACAAAATCATCAGTGTTATTATTATAACGTTTATCAATATTTGTTTTTCGCTTTTTAATTCTTTCGGCAATATTTTCAATTGGTATCTCCTCATTGGAATTATCTTTTTGTGACTCATTTGAAGCTGCTTCCGAAATATCGGATTTTGTTGAATTGATCGATTGGCTATCTATTATATCTGAATCGCTAAATGAATCATCAGAATTATTGCACCTATTCTTTTTTCGTTTATTCTTTCTCAATGTGCCATTTTTCACTGGACTATCATAAATTTTCTTCATTTTATCACAACTATCACTTTCTTCGAGATTTAATTTTTTACTAATCTTTGTACCATTAATTATTTTCTTTATGTTTTTATTCGTATCAAACGACATTTCAGATGGGAGATCTAGCGAATCAGAGACTTGTGGTTTTACCAAAGTACCAGAAATTGTCACTATTTGCACTGGTGCTGCAACTGGTTTTATTATTGATTCCAAATTTTCAATCTTACTCGGCATTGAACTGGATTTGGAATCTTTTATTTTTCCTATAAAGAAAGTTTTTTTTTTTTTAGTAAAATATCATATTTTTAAACATAAAAATAGTCAAAAATAACTTTTAAAAAATTGTTGCAATTTTCTTCAATTTTTTTTTCAATACTGATTTATGGAAATTATTCTAATTCTAAATAATTGGCGAAATTTTCAAAATGAAGTCAAAAACTTTTCAATTTTAGTGAAATATTTTTTTTAATAAAATTTTTTTTTTATATTTCTTCTAATGTTTATTGATCAATTATAAAAAAAATTTATTTTTTTAATTTTTTTTTTTAATAAATATTTTTTTTTAATAATTTTTCATCTTGTAAAAAAATTTGTTTTCTAATTGTTGATCATAAACGTTGAAGACTTCAGTATTTTTTTGTCTATAATTAGAAAGTGAAATTTTAAAAATATAACAATATGCGATAATAGAATGACTCATATGATAAATTATAAAAAAGAAAAAGGTAATAATAACAACTGACCTTTAAAAGCACTCCAAGAGCAACTAGGTATTCTTTTGAAGCTTGAAAGTGAAGGAGTTTTTGGCACAAAATTAGAAACCCTTTTTAAAATAGGTACAACTCTTATCAATTTTGTATCAATTTGTCGACCATCTGAAAAAAGAAAATTTTTATATAATTATTTTTTCAACTCAACACATAATTTCTGAAACTTTTTAATTTTTATGTCCCTTTGAAATATTTTGATAATTTTAAGAACTTTATTTTGTTTAGAGGGGAAAAATTAAGAAAAAAATAATTTTTAAAAATTTTACAATTTTTTTTTTTATAGAAATTGTATTTTTTGAACAATTTCATTATTTTTATGAACAAAATAAATTGATTTATGTTTTATATAAAAAAAAAAAAAAAAAAAATGTTCTGATAATTCAAACCTTTTAAGGTATAATATTACAAAATTCTTGACTTTTTCAACAATTTTAAAAACAAGAATTGTTGGAAAATTTTAGTTTTTAATTCAAAACTGTTAATTTCTTTTACAAAAATATAAATATTTCTTTTATGCTTTTAATATTAAATTTATCGTTTAAATATTTTATTAGAAAATAAATAATTTAGAAATTAATTTTTAAAAAATATGACTTAAGTCATGGAAAAAAAATTTTTAATTGTCTAATGGTAAAAAATTATTTTAAAAAACTTTTTATTATAGAATATATAATTTTAGTTTCCAAAAATATAACAAAAACAATCGACACCTCTAAATAATTTAAAATTTACTCTTAATACTTTAAAATTCAACTTCTTTCATAATTTTTGTTATTTTTCATCAGCATTTTTTTTTATAGATTTTTTTTGTGGTTCTGAACAATCAATCATATAGGTTTTTAAAATTTTCAATTTTTTAAAAAAATACAAATTCCAAAATACTTTTTTTCAAATTTCAATAATTTAGATTAAAATTAGACCCTAATTAATGTCAGAAAAAAATAGACAAAGTAAATTTTGAAAGCTTAAAATTTCACTAGTCGAATATTTCAGAATTGAACTGTAATTGTATGACAAATTTTCAAAATTTTTTTTAAGTAGGACAAATTTCTAAAAAAAATTCTTAAAGAAGCATTTTTATAATTTTTTGAAATCTGATTTAAGAAACTTATTGAAAGATTTACAATTTAGATGTTTGTAATTAATTGAACATCAAGTGATTTTTAATTTAAAATTTTTGATGATTTCACTAAAAAATTTATTAGAAATTGCAGACAAAAATACAATAATTTGAAAACTTTTTAAGTTAAAAATAGTTTTAGATAGTTGAATTTTCGAAGAATATGATAAAAATCATTAAAAATAATTGAAAAAAAAATTATTATTTATTATTTTTTTTTTTTAAATAATGAAATTTCAGGAGTTATAATTGAAATTATTAAATTTCAAAAAATTTTAGATGGAAAATTTTAGAAATAATTAAATTTTAGAAGCTTTTAAATTGAAATTTTCGGAAATAATTAAATTTCAAAAGATTGTGTTCAATTTCAGACAATAATTATAATAAAAATTTTTTTTAGTTATTTCTGTTGATGAAGAATTTATTAGAAATCACATAAAAAAATTCAATTCCAAAAGTTTTTAATTGAAAAATGCTTTCAGATAATTGAATTTTCGAAGAATATTAAAAAAATCATTAAAAAATAATTGAAATATTTGCAAATAATTAAATTTCAAGGGATTTTGAATTAAAAATTTTTGGTAATTTTATTTGCTAATTTTTCTTTAAATTATAAACAATTGCTAAATTTCATAAAAATTTTAATTAAAAAATAGTTTAGGATAATTAAATTTGTGAAGAATTTCATTAAAATTATTAAAAATAATTAATTTAATAAAGAATTTTTGTTAAAAATTTGTTAAATATTTGAAATTTCGAAAATCTGAAGAAAATCTGCATTGTTATCTTTAAAAAAACCTAATTTGTTTAAATTTTTTTTTTAAAAATGTTTAAAAAGTCGAAAAAGTCTCATTTTTTTAAAAAATAAGTCAAAAAAAATCGTATTTTTAAAAAAAATTCGTAATTTTCAGATTATTTTCAGTCCATTTAATATTGAGAATAAAATTTGCTAAAAATATTGAACAATTACCTCGAGTAGTTCTCAATGCCGTACGTGGCATTGCTTTAATCGGTTTAAAATGATGAATTTCTTGATTAATACTATCATGACTGCCAGCACTTTCGGCGCTTCCAATTCTTGAATCATCAGTGACTGTGGTTACACAAATTTCAACTTCAACATTTTTCTTTTTTGAATTTAAAACATCATTTGGAACATGCAATTCCTCTTTGCTTTGTAATCCATAAATTTTTGAACAACTTGGCTCCAAATTGAAATTATAACCACTTGGTTGAATGAATTTTGTCACTTGATTTTTAAATAATCTTGTAACTGTATCTTGCACTGGTAGAGTTTTATAAGATCCCAATTTATCAACGGCATCTTTACACTGGTTCAAGCCGGTAGACTTAATACTGGAAGCGTAACTCTCTGCTCGTATTTTTGATATCAAGGCAATATTTGTTTTTTGTGAATGCATAGCTGATTTGAACTTGGTAATTATTGGTTCATCGCAATTGTAATTATTTTGTGTTTTTGTTTTTTGAACAGTTTTTGATAATGGTTCAGTCTTCATTTTTGCATCAAACTTGGTACGAATTTCTTTCTTCGCCAAGGTTTTCGCCAATAATTCATCTTGAGCCAATTGGGCTAATTGTTGTTGTTCTTCAGCTTGAATTTTTCGAATTAATGCTTCGCTTGCAATTGTTTCTGCTTGTTGTTTACGACGTTTTTCCTCTTCTTCAAGTTGAAGTTGAGTTTCATACTCTTTTCTAATTTCACCCGCTGCACTGAGAATTTTCGTTCTCGCTGCGTAGCCTGTAAAAAAAATAAATTCAATTATAGTTCTTTTTTTCTTCTAAATATTTTATTAATTTAATAAACTGTAACGATCAATGATTTTTGAATGAATTTTTTTTTAGAAATTTTCCATATTTCCTCTGTTTATAGATCAGTAAATTATAAAAAAAAAAAATTTATAATATTCCGTTTTAAAAATTTTGCCTTTCTGAATGTTTAAATGAACGAAAAATTTATTTACTACTTTTTTAAACTTCAAATTTTATTATTAAATATTGCTTTTAAATTTTTCATTGCCGTAGTAAAAAAAATTTATAGAACAAAAAAATGATTTCGTTCATTTTAATATTCAGAAATTTAGGCAAATTTTAAAAAAATGTGTTTTCTAATCATTAACGAACTTCGTATTTTCTATGCTATTAAAATTTTTCCTTTGGCAAAATTTTTGCGTTTTTCGATTAACAAAAAAAAAATAATTTCTAGTCAAATTTTATTTTTCAAAAATATTTTTTGTTAACTTCACCGACGTTAAAAAAAAATTAAATTATTTCTTATTGAAATATTTTGTAATAAAATTGAAAATTAAAAAAAGTAACAAAGAAACGTTGGTTGATGTAAACGTTTAGAACTTTAGAGACTAAATATAAAAATAATCTTGAGATTGTTATAAAATAGAAGAGAAAATTATAATAAAAAAAAAAAGAGACGCAACATTATTGCTGATAACAATTTACAAGCGTATATAAAAGAAACAAGGAATACCGGAAAAAAAGTAAAACATGAAAAGGTTAAAAAAAAACGCAAAAAGAATCGCAACGAAAGTGAGTAGGTTATGTTTATTTATTATAAAGAAAGACGCTCTCACCAGAGTCCAGGTCGATATCCGTATCCTCGCCGTTTCTTCTGCCTTCAACTTCTTTTGGAAATTTGGTTCGAATTATCTCCCAAAGTCTGATATTAACCAATGTATTAGATTTGCTATTTGTTCGTAACCAAGAGCCAACTCGAGTTCTGCAAAGAGGGCAATTTAGGTTGTTGTGTTGAATCGTTCCATTTAAACATGATAAACAAAGATTATGTTCACAAGGGAGGGTCACTGGTTCAATAAGAATTGCTCTGCACACTGGGCACAATAAATCTCGTAAATTTGCATAGGAAGAACTTCGGCATAACGAAGGATCGAATAATTTTGACGTTCTTTTTAAACACGTCGCCATCTTACTTATTCGGATGCATTATAAGCATAAACAACTTACACTTTTCGATGGACGGATTTTATAATTATACAAAATGCAAAGATAAAATTTTTGTATACAGAGTAATAGTAAACGCGGTTTCACTTTTTTTTTCTTTATATAAACTAAAAAAACAAATAATAGTCAACCGCGATTATTTTTGACGTCAAACTATGTAGTTATTTTCTATCTAATGTTATATGCATTGTAGATGCAGAGAGGAGAAAAAAATAATTTACGTCGATAAAGTAAATATCTGCCCTTTACATATACGATTACACTCTTTAGAAAGTTAAATTTAGGGGGCGCTGTCAAAACGCGCGCACATTTGAAATTTTTTTTAAAATAAATTATTTTATTTTAAAAAAAGCAATAAATTATAATAAAATAAAAAATGAACAAAGCAATTAAAGAGCTTTTATTGTTTCTGTTTTTAAGATTAACTGTCAGTAAAATTAAAAAAGAATTTTGAAAAAAATATAAAAATTAAATTTAATTAAATATATTAATTTTTTTTAATCAAATTAAACATTTTAACTAGTTTATAGATTATTTTCAAAAATAAATAATAAAAACAAATAAAATTTTTTTTTTAAAATGCAGTTCCCTTTCTATGTTGATTTATATAGTCTTAGTTCAAATTTTTCGCTTGTAATCGGTCGTGGCGTATATAACCTTAAAATCATAAATATTAAATTCCTTTCAGAAACTATAAGTTTTTAGTGTTTATTTCAGTTTTAATTAAACTTCAATATGCCGGATCATTTAGGAGATGATATGAGGAAAGTCAAATCTGAGGAGGATAAAGAGGAAAAAGATATAAAACGTATGTATTAAAATTTTTTGAGTTGAATGAACATTAGTAATGTCCTTCTGTCATTTTAGTCTCTATATACTTCTACTTTTTCATTTAAAAATTTTTCTTTGTTTCAGCTCTTGACGAAGGAGATATCGCTCTACTGAAAACATACGTGAGTTTTTCTTTTAATTAATTTTTATTGTAAAATTCATTGCATTTAAAATTTCGATTGAATTATTTCTTTTCTATACACTTTTACTCCAATTTGTGTTGTTTACTTCTTTTTCATACTATCAATTTACAACTAACTTTTCATATAATATTTTCATAATTTTTAGTTAAATTATCTTTTCGAATTTTAATTATTTAATAATTTACAAATACAGGGCTGTGAAAAGTCATGATTTTTTTTTGAAAAATCAAAATAATACGATTTTTTTATTTACAAAAAATTTATTTTTACTAACGTAAAATTTTTGAAAAGTTGATTTTTAAGCAGTTTGTTTTTTAATAAATATTTCAGCAATAAATTTAATTATACAAGCAGCAGGAAATATATTTTTTTTTATCAAAGAAAATACGAAGCTAAAGTACGCAACGTTTATGATAAACGATTTTTAAAGAAACAATTTTTTAAAATGAAAAATTCTATAATTTTTTGCCTAAAAAATATTTTTTTATAATTTGTTGATTAATGAAAAAAAAGAAATATTATTTAGTTAAAAAAATATAGAATTTTTCATTTAAAAAATTTTTTTTTTTTTAAAATCGTTTATCATAAACGTTGCGTACTTCAGCTTCGTATAAGAAAATAACATTTTTGAACTGAAATTTAAAACTGTCCCAAGAATTCATGTTTTTTAAAATTGTTAGTTTTTAAAAATTCAATAATTCTGTAATAAATTTTGAATAACTATAAATTTTTTAAAAAATATCTTAGAACTTATATAAAAATTTTAAACAAGTGCCAATTTTTCCAAAAAGTACAATTTATAGAAAATAAAAAAAAATTTAATTCAAAATCACTTGAAATTTAATTATTTGCAAAAATTTCAATTATTTTTAATGATTTTTATAATATTCTTTGAAAATTCAATTATCTGATAGCATTTTTCAATTAAAAACTTTTGGAATTCAATTTTTTAATGTGATTCCTAATAAATTTTTCATCAACAGAAATCACTAAAAATTTCTCCTATTATAATTATTGTCTGAAATTTAACACAATCATTTGAAATTCAATTATTTCTAAAAAATTCAATTTAAAAGCTTCTAAAATTCAATTATTTCTAAAATTTTACATCTAAAATTTTTTGAAATTTAATAATTTAATTTAATAATTTAATAATAATAATAAATAATAAATTTAATAATTTCAATTATAACTCTCCTAAAATTCAATATTATTTTTAATGATTTTTATAATATTTTTTGAAAATTCAAATAACTATAACTATTTTTCACTTAAAAAGTTTTCAAATTATTGTATTTTTCTCTTCAATTTACAATAAATTTTTTAGTAACAAAAATCATCAAAAAATTTAAATTAAAAATCACTTGAAGTTCAATTAATTTCAAAAATCTTAATTGTAAATCTTTGAAAATTTAATTACTTTTAAAAAAATGTTATATCTAAAATTATTTGATAAATTATTTTTAGTTTTGTAAAATTTAATTATTGTCTGAAAATTAACAAAATCTTTTGAAATTTAATTATTTCCAAAAATTTCAATTTTAACTCTTCCAAAATTATTATTTAAAAAAAATTTATTTAAAAATCTATAAAACTTGATTAAGTATTGTCTGACATTTTTTTTGACCATCAAAACTTAAAACTATGACAAAATTTCAAAATTCGAATAAATTGCTTAAATCAGATTTCAAAAAAATTATAAAAATGGAACTTTAAGAATTTTTTTTAGAAATTTGTCCTATATTTAAATAAAATTTTGAAAATTTGTCTTACAATTAGTTTTATTCTGAAATATTAGAAATAAATTTTCTTGATAATATTTTTATATAATTATTTTCATTACAGAATTAATAAAATGAATTTAATATCTAATAATATTAGTTATTTAAAGTAAAATATTGATTAATCAATTAAATTTTGTTAAAATAAAAAAATCCTCGTTTTCAACTTTTTTTTGTGCTTTAAAGTCGATCCGAGGCTTGATAATGGGATATGGTTTCAGGTTCGGAAAAAAATGTAAAAAAGTGTTTGATTGGTTTAAAAAAAAAATTATACATTTTTCATGATTTTTTTCTATGAAAATTATTATTTTTTGTTTAAAAGAAAAAAATTCAAACGTTTCTCGATCAACAATTTTTAAAAAATAATTATTGTAAGCAAAAAATTAATTATTATTTTTCAAATGAAAAATATATATTTTTTTTTGCAATTATTGATCAAAAACATTGTGAACTTCATCAACATTTAATTAGACAATAAAATTTAAATATCCCGTTAATAATTAATAAATAAACAAATTGTTGAAAAAAATTTTTTTTTATTTTTCTCATCAGGGTCAAGGACAATATACAAAGAGTATAAAAAATGTTGAAGAAGACATTCAAACGGTAATAAAGAGGGTAAATGAATTGACTGGAATTAAGGAATCCGATACTGGTCTTGCACCACCAGCATTATGGGATCTTGCCGCTGACAAGCAAACATTACAAAATGAACAACCATTGCAAGTGGCTCGTTGTACAAAAATTATCAATGCCGATACAGATGATCCCAAATATATTATTAATGTAAAGCAATTTGCTAAATTTGTTGTTGATTTGGCAGATTCTGTTGCGCCAACAGATATTGAAGAGGGTATGAGAGTTGGTGTAGATCGTAATAAATATCAAATTCACATACCACTTCCACCAAAAATTGATCCAACTGTGACAATGATGCAAGTGGAGGAAAAACCCGACGTTACTTACAGTGATGTTGGTGGTTGTAAGGAACAAATAGAAAAATTACGAGAAGTCGTCGAGACACCTTTACTTCATGTAATTTTTATTTTTTTAATTGTTTTTTTTTTATTTTCACTTTTTTATATTTAAATTAATTAATTTTTAATTCTTTTTAGCCTGAGAAATTCGTAAATCTAGGAATTGAACCACCAAAAGGTGTTCTTCTCTTTGGACCACCGGGTACGGGAAAAACACTTTGCGCACGTGCTGTTGCAAATCGAACCGATGCTTGCTTTATTCGTGTCATTGGTTCTGAATTAGTTCAAAAATATGTTGGCGAGGTAAATATTTTTAATTCAAATTTTTAAATTAAATGATTTTCAGGACTTCATGGTCATGGGCCGAAAACCTTATAATTTTATACCATTGAGACTTTTAACCGTTAAGGCTTATAACTGTTGAGATTTGAGACTATTGAGATAATCGAGACTTGGTACCATTAAAAGTTGAAAATGTTGAGATAATTGAGACTTAATGCCTTAACACTATTGAGATTGTTAAAATATTTGAGAGTTGAGACAGTTGAGACTTGAGACTATTGAGACATGATACCTTAAGACTATTGAGACTTGAGACCGTTGAGACTTGAGTTCCGACAGTTGAGACTTGAGACTATTGAGACTTGAGTTTCGACAGTTGAGACTTGAGACTATTGAGACTTGATACCTTAAGACTATTGAGACTTAAGACTGTTGAGACTTGATACCTTAAGACCATTGAGACTTGAGTTGCGACAGTTGAGACTATTGAGACTTAAGACTGTTGAGACTTTATACCTTAAGACTATTGAGACTTGAGACCGTTGAGACTTGATACCATTGAGACTTGAATTGCGACAGTTGAGACTTAAGACTGTTGAGACTTGATAGCTTAAAACTATTATGACTTGAGACCGTTGAGACTTGAGTTGCGACAGTTGAGACTTAAGACTGTTGAGACTTGATAGCTTAAGACTATTGAGACTTGAGACCGTTGAAACTTGATACCATTGAGACTTGAGTTGCGACAGTTGAGACTTAAGACTGTTGAGACTTGATAGCTTAAGACTATTGAGACTTGAGACTGTTGAAACTTGATACCGTTGAGACTTGAGTTGCGACAGTTAAGACTTGAGACTATTGAGACTTAATACTGTTGAGACTTGATACCTTAAGACTATTGAGACTTAATACCATTGAGACTTGAGTTGCGACAGTTGAAGACTTGAGACTATTGTGACCTTAGTTGCGACAGTTGAGACTATTGAGACCTTAGTTGCGACAGTTGAGACTTGAGACTATTGAGACCTTAGTTGCGACAGTTGAGACTATTGATACTTAAGACTGTTGAGACTTGAGTTGCGACAGTTGAGACTTGAGACTATTGAGATCTTAGTTGAGACTTGAGACTATTGAGACTTTAGTTGCGACAGTTGAGACTTGAGACTATTGAGACTTAAGACTATTGAGACTTGAGACCGTTGGGACTTGATACCATTGAGACTTGAGTTGCGACAGTTTAGACTTGAGACTATTGAGATATTTGTGACTTGCGACCGTTAAATGATTAATTGAGACTGTTGAAATAATTTAGACTTAATACCATTAAAACTTGAGACCGTTTGAGATTTTATACCTTATGATTATTGAGACTTGAGACTTAATACCATTAAAACTTGAGACTGTTAAGATATTTGAAACTTGATACTATTGAGACTAGTGAGACTTGAGTAACGACAGTTGAGACTTGAGACTCTTGAGATATTTGAAACTTTTATTATTGAGACTTGAGACAGTTGTGACTTGATTCCATAGAAACTTGAGACAGTTGAGACTTGATACCTTAAGACTATTGAGACTTGAGACTTTTTAAATATTTGAAATTTGATACCATTGAGACTATTGAGACTTGAAATCGTTAAGATTTTGGACAATTGAGTCTTGATATCATTGAGAATTAAAATGGTTGAAACTTTTGAGACTCCATAACATTCAGACTTGAGACGTAACACTTAAGGCTTAACCATTATAATTTGGATATAATATCTCAACCTTAAGCATAAGACTTAATACTTAAACAAAACCTGTTAATTGATTTTTTTTTTTAATCTAAATATTAATTATTTATTTCAGGGAGCTAGAATGGTTAGAGAGCTTTTCGAAATGGCTCGTAGTAAAAAAGCGTGTCTTATTTTCTTTGACGAAATCGATGCTATTGGTGGTGCTCGTTTCGATGACGGTGCAGGTGGAGATAATGAAGTCCAACGAACCATGTTGGAACTTATCAATCAATTGGATGGGTATGGAAATTTTTTTTTCTTTTCAAATTAAGAAGAAATAATTTTTACTTATATTTTCAAATAAAATTATAAAGACTGAAAATTAAAAATATATTTTAAGATTCCTATGATTGAATTGTTCAAATTTTCAAAAAATGGTTATTATATAATATAGGTAACTAGTGATAGTTAGCTAATAAATGAATAATAAAATGTTTATTAACTATTTGAATTATTTTTCTTTTTCTAGCTTTGATCCAAGGGGTAACATTAAAGTATTGATGGCAACTAATAGACCAGACACGTTAGATCCTGCTTTGATGCGTCCTGGACGTTTAGACAGAAAAGTAGAATTTGGACTTCCAGATCTTGAAGGACGAACGCACATTTTTAAAATTCACGCTCGTTCAATGAGTGTTGAAAGAGATATAAGATTTGAATTATTAGCACGTTTATGTCCAAATAGCACTGGTGCGGAAATTCGTTCCGTTTGTACGGAAGCTGGGATGTTTGCAATTCGAGCTCGTCGTAAAGTCGCTACAGAGAAAGACTTCCTCGAAGCCGTCAACAAAGTTATTAAGTCCTATGCTAAATTCTCCGCTACACCCAAGTACATGACTTACAACTAAACTTCTCATTAAAACAACAAACTACTTTGTACTGGTTCAAATTTTTCTTAAAAATAAGTTTTGCATTAACTCAATATTCGTTAATAATAAATAAAAAAAAAATCGTATAAAAATAGAATTAATTGTAATTTGTTTTTTTAATTTTAAGTAATTAAAAAAAATTTAATTTTTTTAATGAAACTGTAATCTTTTGAAATTTTTGTTAATTTAGGATGTCAATTTATTTTTCGACTTTATTAAAAATATAAAAATAATGCTGTGTCATGGATAATTTAGAAAAAAATTTATTTAATAACAACGAAAATTTCAATAGATTAAAATTTCAGTGATTCCTCTCCTTAAAATTATGTTTGATAAATTCAGATTGTACAACTTTTTTCGACTTATGTTACAAAATAAAATTAAAAATTAATTAATTTATTAAATTAAAAACAAAATACCTAGATGACTTTTTTTTTAGTATAAACTGTATCTCTTTTAAAATTGAATTATTTTAAACATTTGATTCTAAAAAGTCTTTGCGAAATTAATTATTTTCAATAATTTTAATGAAATTCTTTAAAAATTAGAAATTCTCTAAATTTTATCTATTGCCTAAAATTCATAAAATTTACAAATTAAAAATCTCCTTGAAATTTTATTACAATTTTAAAAATCTGAAATTTTCTTTAACATTTATCAATTGTTTCAATTCAAATAATTTTTATGATATTGTTCTAACATTAAATTATTTAAAACCTTTTATTTAGGTTAAAAATTCTACTGTTTTCTACAAATGATCTTATTTTTAAAAAATGACTGAAATTTTTTTATACCAAAATTTTGTATTTAAAAAATTCTAATTTTACCAAATATTAATTTAGCAGAATTTTCATTTAACAGAATTTTAAATTATTCGAATTTTTAAATGACAGAATTTTCAATTTCACCAAATCTGCATTTTTCCAAATTTCCATTTATCCGAAACTTCAAATTCGTACAAATAAAAATTTGGTCAAATTAACATTGGGTGAATTTTAATTTCTGTAATTTAAAAATTCGAATCACTTAAAATTATGTTGAATGCGAATTCTGCTAAATTAATATTTGCGGTTAAATTAGAATTTTTCAAATAAAAAGTTGAATAAAGAAAAATTTTGTGAAAAAAAATTTCTGCAAAATTAAAAATTCGGTATCTACAAATTTTATTAAGTAAAAATTCGTATAAAATGAAAATCTGTCAAATTTTAATTTGAAAAATTATAATTCATCTAAATAATAACTATATATCTAATAATATTCTTTAAAATGCAAATTTTAAAATGAATTTAAACTTCAAACTTTGAGAAAATTCTGAATTCATAAATAATTTACCTAAATAAGACTTGAAATTTAAAAAAAAAATAATAACTTTCTTTTTTTTTATTAACTCTTTCGAAATTCTTAAAAATTTGCCGAAGTTCAATTTTAAAATATTATCTGAATAAAATTTCTTAATAAATTTCTATTAAATTATTCCTATTAAGGAATTATTAAATTTTATTTTTAATATCTAATAACAATGGTTATTAAAAATAAAATATTTTTTAAAATTAAATTTTAAAAAATTGCCTTTCTCTAATTTTGTTCCAAATCGACTTTTTTTGCGCCTTAAATTCGATCTGAGGCCTAATATTAGTTACTATTTTATATAAGGTAAAAATAAAAGTTTTTGATTTCTAATTTAAATTATTTTTTATAACATACATATATATATACAATATTTTACCGTTGATAAAATTTAAGTTTAATGGGAGCATCTGGTTTATTAATTAATAGAGATATACAGTCAATTTCTCCATTTTGCCAAGTAAATTGAAAATTTCTACATATCTGAAAAAAATCATTAAAATTAATAATTGAAAATAGAACGAAAGAATTTAATGATCAGTCTCTTACTTTTAATAGAAAAACTAGCATATTTTGTTCTGCCAAGCGTCTAGCTATACAAGATCGAGATCCATGTCCAAATGGTAAAACAGCATAAGGATGAATTGGTTTCTCTGTTTTATATCCTCCACTGTCTCCATTTCGCAACCAGCGTTCAGGAATAAAAGAATCCGGATCAGAAAAATATTCCGGAGATCGGCAGATTATTTGATTTTGTGTTACAACGTTTGTCTGTAAAAAAAAAGACAAATTCGATTTTTTATTCAAATTATTTATTACTAGCAAAATTAAACGCGCGCAAGCGCGCCAAATTGAGTATTTCATTGTTTGTTATGAAGAAATTAAAGATTAATATTATCAATAATAATTTAATTCATTAGAATATTATTACATATTAAATGATAATAATGAAAATTATATGTTTACAGGCCTCGGATTATACGACTTTTTCCGACTTTTTTCAAAAATACGACTATTATCGACTTATTTTAATAAAATGCGACATTTTTTTTTTACATTTGAAAAAAAATGTAAATAAAATACATTTTTTTAGTATAAAATGTAGATCTTCTTCAGATCTTCTTCAATTCAATTATTTAACAAATTTTGAACTAAAATGATTCTTCACTAAATTAATTATTTTTAATAATTTTAATGAAATACATCACAAATTCAATTATATCAAAATTATTTTTCAATTAAAATTTTTATGAAATTTAACAATTGTTTATAATTTAAAAAAGAAATATCACAATAAAATTGAATTATTTTTTAAAAATCTCAATTCAAAATAAACTAAAATTCAATTATTACCCGAAATTTTAATTCAAAATCAATTAAAAATCCAATAATTATCCAAAATTTTCAATTTAAAATTTAATTATTTACCAAGTTTTCAATTTAAAATGAAATAAAATTCAATTATTTTCTAAAATTTCTATTCAAAATTAATTATCCAAATTTTCAATCAAAAATGAACTTAAATTAAATTATTATCCAAAATTTCAATTAAAATTCAATTATTTCCCAAAATTTTCAATTGAAAATGAATTGAAATTCAATTATTTTCCAAATTTAAAATCAAATAAAATTTAATTATTCTCAAAAATTTGAATTCAAAATTAATTGAATTTTCAATAATTTGAATTTAAAAGCATCTAAAATTTAATTGTTTCTAAAATTTTCCATCGAAAATTTTTTTTTTTGAAATTTAATAATTTCAATTATAACTCTAAGGAAATTCAATTATTTTTAACTATTTTAATAATATTCTTTGAAAATTCAACTATCAGAAACCATTTTTCAATTAAAAATGATTTTCAAATTATTGTATTTTGTCCGCATTTTCTAATAAATTTTTAGTGAAATCATCTAAATTTTTAATTACAAAACACTTAAAGTTTCAATTAATTTCAAAAATCTCAATTTTAAATCTTTGAAAATTCAATTAAATTTAAAAAATGTTTTCCAAAAATTATTTGATAAATTATTTTTAGTTCTGTAAAATTTTATAATTGTTTGAAAATTAACAATATCTTTTGAAATTTAATTATTTCTAAAAATTTCAACTTTAACCCTTCGAAAAAGATTATTATTAAAAAAAAATTTTTATTTAAAAATCTGTAAACTATTTTTGTTAAAATAAAAAACAAATCCACTTTTTTTGGAATATAAATCGACTAAAACGACTTTTTGTGTCTTTAAGTTGATTCGAGGCCTGTGTTTTTATAATTAATATTTAATAGGTATTCGTTGGCCCCTGGTACCTTAAAAATTAATTTTTAAAAATAAATTTTTTTCAAATTACTATCTTGTACGAAATTTCCTGGCGCCTCTTTTTTCTCATCATAAATTTTTTGTATTTGTATACAATTTTTGAATCAATATACAACTTTAAAAAAAATTTCGTTGGTAAACGTTGTGTACTTCAGCTTCGTGAATTGAATTTTCGAATTTGAAATTTTAAAGAAACTTGTTCCGAAATTTGGAAACACAATTATACAACTTTGGCAAAAATGAGAAAAAGAATTGTCAAAATTTGACACGTCATAAGATTACTATTCAAAAAAACACGTGAAATCAGAAAAGGCCAACTTCAAGTTAGGACAGAAGGACAGACCAAGCATAATTATTTCTTTCATTGAGAATAATTATTTTCTTTTGTAAAGTTTAAAATTATTTGAAAAATACTTACTCCCTTAGGAACTTGATAACCATCAAGAACAACATCGGTCTGTAAAATTCTTCCAACTCCAACAGAAATAGGATTTAATCTGAGAGTTTCTTTTAAAACAGCTTTTGTATAATTTGCATGTTTTAAAATATCACAAGTAATTGAATCATTTTTATTTGGAAGCAAAGTAGCAGCCTCTTGATATAATTTTTCTTGGACTTTTAAATTTCTCCCCAAATGATATAAAGCCCACGCAGTTGTATTAGTTGTCTATGAAAATATTTTCTTTTATATTTAAGCAATTCCATATGAAATAGTTTTAATTAGAAATTAAATTAATAATATTATTAATTAAAAATTAAATTATTTAACACTTACAGTGTCAACTCCAGCGAGTAACATATCACAAGCCATTCCAACGACATCTTTTTCATCTAAATTTGGATTCATTAAATATGTCTCCAATAAAGAAAGTTTTCTATCTTTTGAAAAATTTTTCAATTTCTGTTTCTTTATTCTCACCATATCAATAGCGACTCTAGAGAAAAGACAAAAAAAAAAAAAAAATTTCTATTAGCTAGAATATGTTTTTATGAGAAAAATCGAGTTAATTTGAAAATTACTTTTCGTTTTTGCTTACGATTCCATGAATTCTTGAGCTTTGCTCATTTTTTTATAAAGAGGAGTGTCAAAAAAGCGCCAGAGCCTCAAATTTCCATCCAAATGTAAAACAGCATCGTTTGTGACAAAAGCAGAGTCAATTAATTTTGAAGACGTCGAATCCTCTTGCATTTCTTCTTTTGAGAAACTGTTCATTTTCTCATCAAATGCAACTAAACCAATTACTAAAAAAAAAAAAAAAATATTTAAATTAACATTATTTAATTATATTTAAGAAATATTGTAGTATATTTTAAATAAGATACAAACACTCCAAATAAAGACGAGATAAAAGAGGATGAAAATCGTCATAGTCTTTTTGTTTGCAAATTTCTACAAATTGTTCCATTATTGGATTTATTTCCTTTAGATACATTAAAACTTCCTGTGGTTTGCTTAATGATTTTTGAAATTCTCTTCTTATTCTCAGCCATTCTGTACCATTGCTGCAAAAAATTATAATATATCAAACAAAATATATATTTTTTTAATTCAACTATTCAATTCTGAAAAATTTAATCACTTCGTTAAATTTTAATTAGTGAGATTTTATAAAAAAATAAAATAATTGGAATTTAACAACTAAAGCCCTTCAAATTCTTCTTGAAAATAAATTATATTTTACAATTTTTCAGTTTAATAAAAATTAATTAATCTAGATAAAAAAAATTATTGATAATTTCTTTCAGAGTATATAATCATCAAACAAAACCAATAATTTTTCAAGAAATCCAATAATTTTCTACTCAAAAAATATGAATTTTTTTGACTTTCAAATTTTTTAAACTAATCCAGAATGTAATGTTTGAATCAGACAATTATTCTAAATTTAAAAGTTAACAAAATTTATAATTTAAAAAAAAGTGAAAAACTTCAAAGTTAAAAAAAAGAAAATTTTTTCCAACTTTATAAAAGCAGATGTTTTGTTTTTTAAAACATTTTTCTAAAAAATCAAAAAATTTATCTAAACAAATGATAAATTAAATTAACTTATTAAATAAAATAAATTAAAGGAAAACTAAAAAAATTATTACCTATAAGAAAAAAATTTAGTTTTCCAGATTTTATAAAAAAAATTTTTTTTTAAACTAAAGCTTTTAGAATAATTTTTGCTTTTTTCTTGAACTTATACCTACATTTAAAAATTTATTTTTTTTTGAGAAAAAAAATTTCAATTCTGTATTTAGAAAATTTATAGTTTTTTTGAATTCAACAAAATTTTTAGATTTTCAGTTTTTCTCATATGAAAATTTTCAGTTCTTAATTATGTAAATTATTTCCGGTTTTCGAAAAAAAAAATTATATTTTTGTAACTGCGAAAGTTTTTATTTTTTTTACAAAAGTGAAAAATTTCAATAATAAAAAAAAATTTCTCCAAGTTTATAAAAATTAAAGTTCTTTAAAATTAACTTTTTTCTAAAAAATTAAAAATTTATCTAAGCAGATGATAAAAAATAATTGTTTTTAAGTTCAAAAAAAAACTAAAGAAATTTTTTTACCTGTAAGAAAAAAATCTCACTTTTTTATATTTAAAAAAAGTAGTTTTCCAGTTTTTCTAGGAAATTCTTTAAATGAAAACTGATTTTCAAAATAATTTTTGATGTTTTTAAACTTACATATTTTAATTCAATTTTTTTGAGAAAAAAAAATTTCAATTTCTTCTGAAATTAGGAATTTATTAGTTTTTTTTTTGCCCTCAAAAAATTTTTTAGATTTTCAGTTTTTCTTAATTTTGAAATTTTTCCCGGCTTTTGCAAAAAAATTTCAGTTTTTTTAACTTTGAAATTTTTTAAATTTTTTTGTAAAAAAAATTTTAAAAAATTGCAACTTTTTTAAACTCAATAATCTTCGTCAATTTTTTGAGTCACTGATATAATTTTTCAAACAGTAACATTATCGTCAGTCATTTTACAATAAAAAAATTTAACTAAAAGAAAAAAATTTTTTTTATTAAATATTATATAAATAATAACTTTTAAAATAAAAAAAAAAAAATTAACGAAAAGAAATAATGAAATTTGTTTTATCAGAATTTAGTTGAAATTTTTTTACTAATTCAAATTTAGAGATTATTAAATATAAAAAATAAATATTGCTAAAAAACTCACGTTGGTAAAAGTCCTCCTGTTTTGTAAACTGTTTTTCTATCAGTTCTATATTTGTAAAGTGCAAGATGACTTCTTCTTGCTGGAATTTTGCCGTATTCAGATTTAAAAACTTCCGCAATATCTTCGGGACGAAAAACCCAAACTATCGTTTGACCTAAAATTTTTTCTTTCACAAGTGGTCCATACGCCATAAATTTCTTTTTACCAGTTATATGTAATCGTTTAACATCGTATTCTCCTGAAACATTAAAAAAAAAAATTTACTTTTAAAGACAGTTTAAAAATTGAGACAGACAAAACTTTTTTTTTAATTACAGAAAGAAAACAAATATAAAATTATTATTGGATTTCTAGGAAGAAATATTTTTTTTAAAACTTACATATATTTTTACAGAATAAAAATTTTCAATTCCTTCTAAACTTTGAAAATTTTTTTTACTTATTTTTGAATTCAACAAATTTTTTACTTTTTCTGTGATAAAAATTTTTTCAGTTCTTTTTAATTTTTAGAAAATTTTTGTACCATTTTTTGAAAAAATATTTTTTGATACTTTTTTCCAAGTTGACAATTTTTTATTATTTGTAAAAATACAAAAATTTTGTTATTGGAAATTATTTGCATTAATTAATTAATTACCTATTATTGGAAAATATTTGAAAAAAGTCCCTATAAGAGGATAACCATTTGGACCAGGAATTTCTTCAAATGACTTCACATTCTTCTTCACTTCTGTATCCTTAACAATAGACATAAAACGTCTAAATATATTTTTCATATTTTCAAAATTGAATTTATAAATTTTCAACATTTTACAATTGTTTTTAAAATTTAATTTATTAAATATTAACGCTCTGTGAAAAATTGATTTCAATGAGAAAAATAAAAAATAAAATCATGAAAAATAATATACAAAAAACAAAAAATAGAAACAATGTTGTGCCATTGACATTGAGAATTTTCTTGATGCACACGTGCACCAAAGAATGCGACAAGTTATGTGTCGCGAGGATATTGAAACTGAAACTCCAAACAGGTTTCTATTTCGTACCTACGAGTCCGATTTTTTTCCCCACTCACACATTTCAATTCTTATCTGCATCTTCTTTTCTTTTGTTTCGTCTATATGTAGAAAAAGTCAAGGCATACATTTACTGGACAAAAATTGAATTTCAAATTTAACATTGGACCGCAACTATTTATATCTTTATTTGCGTTTAAAACAATTATATATTTTTTTTTTACTTTTAAATGTCGTATTTCAAATGAATTTTTTGCCAATTTTTTGATTTCTTGATTACTCGAATAAATCTTAATGAATCGGTCTTAAATTTTGTAGACTTTTTCAAAATAGGGCAAAATGAAGCCTGAGGTTCAAAAAAAAAAAGAAATTCAAAAATTTTTCAAAATTTTGAGTTTTTGAAAATTTTAAAAATCAAAAAAATTTTTTTTTATATTTTTCCCATAAAATACTCCCGAAATGAGACACTTTTTTCCTGTAACATTTTTCGATTGAGACTTAAAGAAAAAAGGTATGATTTTTTTTAATTTATTAAAAATAATAATAATAAATTGAATATTTAGAGGGTGAAGAAAAAGTCGAGCTAATGCCTTTAATCTTTCGTCTCTTTTTTGATAATTTTTTGATTTCTTGATTACTCGAATAAATCTTCATGAATCGATCTAAAATTTTGTAGACTTTTTCAAAAGGGCTTAATGAAGCCTAAGGTTCAAAAAAAAAAAAAAAAATTCAAAAATTTTTCAAAATTTTGAGTTTTTGAAAATTTTAAAAATCAAAAAATTTTTTTTTTATATTTTTCCCATAAAATACTCCCAAAATAAAACACTTTTTTCCCGTAACATTTTCCAATAGAGGCTGAAACAAATTTTGAAACGAATTTTTTGAGTCTCAAAAAAATTCAAAATTTTGAATTTTGAAAAAAAATTTATTTTATATATTTTTCCCTTAAAATACTCCCGAAATGAGACACTTTTTTCCTCTAACATTTTTCGATTGAGACTTAAAGAAAAAAGTTATAATTTTTTTTAATTTATTAAAAATAATAATAATAAATTGAATATTTAGAGGGTGAAAATTTAATCTACAAAAAAAATTATTAAAAAATATTTTATTATTTATTAAAAATTATTTTAGTCAACTTTATTGCGGAATCTTCAAATTTTAATTTTTCAATAATTCCAATATTTTCTGTAAAACTTTTTTTTTTAATATTAAAACGGGATAAATTTTTTTTTTTTACAAAAGCGAAATATTTTATTTGCGTCTATTTGAGACAAATAAAATTTATTTGAAGCAAATAAAAATATATTTGTCTCAGAGCTTAATAGTTTAATAGTAGCCTATAATAGTAGTTGTTTTAAATAAAAAAAATTTATTTAGCAAAAATAATATTTTATTTAGCTCAAGTCTAAATTATATTGTGTCAAATAAAATTCTTATTTAACTCAAATAAAATTTATTTTTAACAAATAAATATTTATTTTGCTCTGTGACAAAAACAGCTTTTCTCCGAGTGAAAAAACTACATTAAAAGAAATTATTTGCTCCAAATAAAATCGATTACTTGACTATTATTAAATAAATATTTACTTGGACCAAATAATTTTTTAATTGAATTAAATAAACTGTATTTGAATAAATAATTTTTGTATTTCAAACAAATATTTCAAATAATAATTATTTGATACAAATAAACATTTATTTGATAATATTAAAGTAATCGATTACTTTTATCAAATAAATTTCTCTTTTCTCTGTTTATAGTAAACATTGAACTTATTTATAAACAAAAAAAAAAGTTAATTAGAAGTTTATATTATAGTTAATATTAAATGCAGAAGTCAATAATAAGGAGGTTAATCGGTTAATTACGTTCCATTATTTTTATTTATAGAAGTAATATGTGGGTGATTCTCCGCGTAGCGCACGATTTGGTGTCTGAAACTTTAAAAATATTTTTTTATCGAAATGATAAATGTCAATACATATTTTTGAAGATTAAGTGTCAAGAAATAAATGAATCCATGGTGAGCCGGAAAAATTTTTTATAATTTTTTAATTTTTTTAAATAAATTGAAAAAAAAATTCTTTGCTTGTTGAATTCTATAAAATAGTTGAAATTTGATTTAAAATGTTTATGGGAATTTTTGGGATAATTCACAAAAATATATATACAGCGCGAACGACAATTAAAATTTTTTATTTCGGTAATTTACGGAAATTTTCGAGGTAATTTATGGGAATTTATGCGGTAATTTATAGAAATTTTTGTCTAAAATTCATAAAAATATGTAAAGCATAAATCACAATTAAAAATTATTATTTTGGTAATTTACGGAAATTTTGGCGGTAATTTATGGAAATTTTTCGCGGTAATTTACAAAAACATATATAGCGCGAACGACAATTAAAAATTTTATTTCAGTTATTTATGGAAATTTATATGGTAATTTATAGAAATTTTGGCTATAATTCATAAAAATATGTGAAGCATAAATCGCAATTAAAGATTTTAATTTCGGTAATTTATGAAAAATTTCGTGGTAATTTACAAAAATATATATAGCGCGAACGACAATTAAAAATTTTATTTTGGTAATTTATGGAAATTTATGCGGTAATTTATGGAAATTTATACAGTAATTTATAAAAATTTATTTGGTAAGTTATAGTAAATATTTTGAATTTAAAATTAATATTAAAATTTTTTAAATCTGACTTCAAATTCGTAATAAGCGACTGCAAAAACCCTTGGATACTAAGTTATAAAAAAATTTAATTTTTTTAAAACCCTTAAGTAAAAAATTTCAAGTAAATCCAATGAAATTAAAAAAAAAATTGTCCAACATATTGAATCTGCCATTTTGAATTTTCAAAATCTGACTTCAGGTTCGTCAACAGCGACCCCAAAAACACCTGATTAACAAATTTCAAGTCAATCCATAAATATTTTTTAAAAAATGTATGCCACATAAAATTCAACATGTTTTTTAAAGTTAGAAAAAAATCCAAATCTGATAAGGTTAAGGGTATGTGGGCAAAGAACGTTTTTTTGTGGTTTGAAACTTTCTCTAAAATAAAAAATAGTCAAAAATTTTATAGCGTAAAACGCAGTTTTAAATCCTAAATAATGTCAGGAAAAAAATTCTTACCTATAATAACAACGAAAATTTTGTTGTGTCCCTTTCCTATGACGCTGAAGTTACCAACGTTAATTCGACGAATCAACGAACGAATTTTTCGTTTTCAGATTAGTTTAAAGGCTAAGAATTAATTTTCAATGTTAAAAAATTATTTTCTTCCTAGCGTGAGCAATATTTTCTAAAATTATTGGACAAAAAAAATTATTAATATTTAAGTTAATTTTAAATTTTACATAGGAAATGAAACAATTGTTTTTTATTAATATTTTATAAATAAATATTTTTAAAAATATATTTATAAACAATTTTTTAAACATAAATTATTTTTTAATACTACATACCAATATTCTATGATAAAAAAAGAACATTTTTTGCTTTTGTTTAATCTCCACATCAATGACATATGCACTGTTCTTGACGGATGCTCTTTTTCTTTGTACGCAGATGATCTTAAGTTGTATAAAGTAATTCACGCTCATGAAGATTATGAGTTGCTCCAGTCAGGTTTGGACGGTGTGTTGACTTGGTGTGAAGGTAATAATTTTCATTTGAATTTGGATAAATGCTCTGTTTTATCCTTATCACCGAAAAAAATCATTACCAGGCACAAATACTCCATTGGGGATACTACTCTTACAAGGGTTCATATGATACGTGATCTTGGCGTTCAATTTTGTGAAAATCCGTCTTTTAACGACCACATTTCTTTTACTATTAGTAAAGCTCTAAAAGTTCTTGGCTTTATTACCAGAAATGCTAATTTATTTAAAAATTCTTTAGTATTAAAAGTATTGTTTTTTTCATTGGTCAGATCAATTCTGGAATTTGCATCATTGATCTGGTTTCCATATTATGATTTGCACATCAGGCGTATTGAACGGGTACAAAATCGCTTTCTTAGATTCGCATCTTTTTGTTTGGGTATGACTTATGACAGACACAGTCATGATTATACCAATATCAGAAATGAGTTAAATATACCGGAAATTTCTGCTCGCTTTCTGTATTCTGATTTATTATTCTTTTACAAAATATTACATGGCCTACTAAACTGTTCTGAACTTGTGTCTAATATTAATCTTTATGTTCCATCTGTTGCGCTTCGTCATTATCAATTATTTCGTGTACCTACACATAGAACAAACTATGGTAAAAATTCAGTCTTTAGTAGAATATGTATTGAAGCGAATGATATTTCCAATGATATTGATTTTTTTGAACCAAGCATAAATATATTTTGCTCGAGATTACGTGGCTTGTTACTAAATTTATCATAGCACGCTTATTATTTGTTACTATACTCATGTATCTCAAGGGCTGTTGCCCGTATATGTTTGTTAAATAAATAAATTTTTTTTGTTTTTAAATTCGTCAGATTAGATTTCGAGAAAAAAAATGCTAAAAATAACAATTGTTAATATAAAACTAAAAATTTAAAAACTTTAGAAATTTATTTTAATTATATTAGAAGTTAAAAAATTATTTTATTTTGAAAATTAATTAGTTTTTGAAAATTTTAAATTATCCGTTTGAAAAATTCTTATCCAATTATAAAAATTTTTGGTTTAAAAATTTTAGAAACTTATTTTGATTACTTCCGGAGTTAAAAAATTTATTTTCTGTTGAAAATTAATTACTTTTTGAAAATTTTAAATTATCCGTTTGAAAAATTTTTATCCAATTAGAAAAATTTTAGAAACTTATTTTGATTACTTCCGGAGTTAAAAAATTTATTTTATGTTGAAAATTAATTAGTTTTTGAAAATTTTAAATGGTTTAAAAAATTTTGATCCAATTTAGAAAAATCTATTTTATTAGAAAAAAAAAATTTTTAGAAATGAAAAATGTTGTTAATGTTAAAATTTAGACAGTATTTTAAAATTACAAATATAGATACATATATATACCTATATATATTTTCTGTTAAAGATTTTTGATTTTCTTAATACCGTCTGTTTTTGACTTTCTCTTTAAATTCCTTCCCCTTCTCTTTACAAAGAATGAAAATAACGGTCAGGTCTACTACTATACCGTAGTGCTTGAGTAATGTTCCAACAGTTATATACCTTGTGTTGCTATGACGAAGAGTAGAATACAATGATTTTTTAACCGATTCTAAAAATTTGATTTCAGTAATATATAAAAAATATCAATAATAATTTTAAATAAAAATTTACAGTGAATCATTCAAATTTTGTTAAAATTTAAAAAAAAAATCAAGAGCTACGTATTTTTTAAAATGTGGCCCTTTAATCGCATGTGTCAAAGTAAAGCTCGACTTGTCGGTAAAACTGTTTTAATTACTGGAGCAAATACTGGCATTGGAAAAGAAGCAGCTAAGGATCTTTATAGAAGAGGTAATTTTTAATTAATATTTTTAAAAAAATGTAAAAAAGTTTTATTTAGTTTAAAAAAAAAATTCAGTTATTACATATTGGTTTGAAATTATCAATTTATTAATTAAAACCCATTTCTGAAGCAAACAAAATAAATAAATGAAAAACATACTAATGCACTGGACAAAAATTTTTTTTTTTGATTCAAAATAATTATGATAAATATTTATTTGTATTTAATTCAATAATAATTACTATTTTTAAGTCAATTAAACGGTTTTTTAAAATAAAATAAATATATTAATAATAATTTGTATTTTATACAAATTTTATACAAACTTTTTTATATTTTATATAAATATATATATACTTACAATCAAAATATTTTATTTTTTATTAATATTTATATATAAATAGTTATATTTTATATACCTAAGTACCTAGTTTATTTTATATAGATAAAAAATTTTAAAAAAATAATTTTTTTTCTTGTTTTGTAGCCAAGTATACATTTAAATAAATAAAATAATAATTTAAATAAATTATTTTTTTTAAATACCAAAATAATTTATTCATTCAAATTTCATAATATCTAAGTTTTGGTGTTGTTCTGATACTTTTTCCTCAAAAAAAGAAGATTGTAAAAATAAAAACTAAAAGGTATAGAGGGCGTGCTACGGAATTTTTTTGAATCTCGGGTAAACTCCCGCTCTGGAGAAAATTCTAGATCCGCTATACTGTTGAAGATGGTTATTATTTTTTTTAATTATTTCTTTGTTTAATTTTTAGAAAAAAAATTTAAAAATCTCACAATGTATACAAGGCCAATGAAAATCTACATAATTAAATTTCCTGACTCAACAATAATTCTATAAAGATTAATTACGGTCAGAAAGATTATTATCTTCAATTTAAACCTAATAATCCTCAACACTGAACGTGCATACATTCATTGCTTATTTCAATCAATTCGAAATTTAAATTAAATATAATTAGTTAAAAACTATTAAAATACAAAAAACAATACAAAAACATTATTTTATTATTTTTTATTATTTTTTAAAATTATTATTCTTATTTAAATATTCAATGAAAAAAATAAAAGAAAAGAAAATTTAAGAAAAAAATTATTTTTTGAAAAATATTTAGAAATTTTTATAAAATTAATTTTATTTAATTTTAAATTACATAACAAATTTGCAATATCGTGAAATATATAATATTTTATATCTTAATTTACAAATCTTTATTTTTTGCATTTATTATTAGTCTCAAATTCAAGGTTGTGGTTTAAATCCTAGTCAACCGCAACTTGTAATTATTAAAAAAAAATGATGACTTTTATTTTAATTATTGTTATTTATTTATTATACCATATTCTTTTGCCTCAAAATATTTTCAAATAAATATTAAACTGTACGAATAATATTTCTTGAAAAAAAAGTAAATATACGCCCATAGACATTTTTTGTTCAAAAATGTATTATTTCAAAATATGGGGCCAAATTCCTAAAATATACGGGTCAAAAATTTCAAAATTATCAAATTTAATTCAAAAATTTGCTAAAATATTGTCATCGCTAGTAAATATAAAAAATTTTTGAATTTCATAAAATATTTTTTTAGTTATAGAGTTTTGAAATTTCGACTTTTTTGAAATTTTTTTCTAATAATGAAATTTGACCTTGAAAATCAGGGTCAAAATTTAAATTTAATATCCTAAAAATTGATTTTTTTTTCTTTTTTTTCTAACTGTCTCAATGGAAAGCTTTACTCATTTTTTCTACAAGATATGTAATTTTGAGAATGGTACCTTTTTAATTTTTTGAAATTTTAACAATTAATCCCTCGAGTAGGCAACACTCCTTACATGTATGCACAAACCTTGTAGAATATACAGTCAAGCTTTTTCTTAAATTATAGTAAAAAAAAACAAAAATTCGATTTTGAGATATATATGCAAATTTAAACTTTGACCTTGTTCTTTAAGGTCAAATTTTATTTTTAAAAAAAGTCGTTCAAAAATCATTATTATAAAGGTGATCGAGGTCATATGTCAAAAATATATGTCTTAGTTTTGTTACTCTTGACGTTGAATTTTGAGGTTATGTTCGCTTTAACCTGTTTTTAATATATGACATTGATTTTAAAGATTATGTTCATTTTAACCTACATTTTTGACATATGACCTTGATTTTTTAAGGTTATGTTCGTTTTAACCTATATGTTTTTTGTTAGTGCAATATATTCAGAAATTTTGACAAGGATTGTACTAAATATGTCAAAAACATATAAGTTAAAACGAACATAACCTTAAAAAGATTATATGTCAAAAATGTAGGTTAAAACGAACATAACCTTTAAAATCAAGGTCATTTGTTAAAAACATAGGTTAAAGCGAACATAACCTCAAAATTCAAGGTCCTAGGTCTTCAAGATTCAAGGTCATAGATCGAACATAACTTCAAAATTCTAGGGCATAGGTTTCTACGATTCAAAGTCTTAGTTCGAACATAACCTCAAAATTCAAGGTCATAGGTCAAAGATAACCTCAAAATTCAAAAACATAGGTCAAGGGACTGTTGTGTTTGAGGCTATGTCTGACAAACATAACTTCAAATTCCTCTAACCAGAAAACGAATATAACCTCAAAATTTAGATAAAATTTTTATAATTTTAATACTTTCAAGCCTTTAAAAAATTAATCATTTAAGGTATCACATCGGCACTAATCGGAGTCAAAAGTTTGTAGCTCGCATTACTACTTCCCGCTCTATACTTTCGCCCTCAACTCCCTATACTCTCAGCTCATACTGTACCTACTTCTACAAATACACTCGTACACGTATACCCCACACTAGCAGCGATTGGAAGGAGTAGGAGGTTTGACAACGTCGCTATAAGTCTCGCTTTGACTACTGTGGACTACTGTCTTTCTCTAACTAATGTTACCATCCTGCGATGTTGCTACATCAAAGTGGCGGGTGTGCTATATATTGCAAATGACGTCATGAAATAGAATTTTTAATTTATAATTACAAATAAACGGCACGGTAAATTATAAATTTCTTTGTATATTTTAGTTCCAAATTTATTCGTGAATTCAACATTAGTTTTTGAAAAAAATTTATAGAAAACTTCTGATGATATTTATGAAAATGTACTTCTCCCCCATACATTAGTCCCGTCTCCCATGCAAAATAAGCAACTTTGATTGCTAATATCTCTGGTTTCGTACGGCCAAAATTCTTCATATTTTGCAAATTTGTCAAGAATGATAATAAGAACATATGGTAAAATTTTCAAGAAAATCTATAGAAAACGGTTTTACCGATGTGATACCTTAAATGGAAAATTTTTTTTTTGTTTCCCAACCTGTTTCATAAAATGTCTGATGGTGGAAACTAGATAGTGACATTCGAAATTTCTACAAAATCCATTTCTATACATAATTTAAAGAAAAAGAAATAAAAAAAATACATATAATTTTGTCGTGCCTATCTTCAAGTTTTTATGGGATTTTTATTGCTGCTCGAATATTAAAATACTAAAATTATTACTCCCGAGGCTATATAGGATATATTATAGAAATTTAAAAATTCTATATAACTCAAAAAATAATTTATCAAATTCAATAATATTTTATATTTAGTTTTCCACTATAATCATATAATATCATTTTGTTAAAGTTTGCTATAAATTAAATAACTATTTTTGACTCTCGGATATTTTCGGAATTTTTCCCCATAATTTATCCTATACGGCTGTATTCTTTGTGATACAAAAAAGTAACTATTTGAAAGATGAATATATTTTTTATTTTTAATAATATTATTTTTGCATTATTCGAGAAAAATTTTACTATAATTTTTAATTTTATTTTATTTAAATATATTTATTATTATTATTATTTTTAACAGACTTGACATAAACTAAAAACATTGTTACAGGTGCCAGAGTAATATTAGCATGTCGAGATCTTACAAAAGCGAAAGCAGCAGCTGAGGAAATAAAATCCACGCCAACACTAAAGTATGTTTTTTTTTTAATAAAAATGAATAATTGTACAAATTAAAAAAAATGAAAAAAACTTTTTGCTAATTAAATTTTTCACTAAATGCTATAGACCTAATCGAGAACAATTTCAAGGAGAAGTAGGCGAAGTGGTTGTTTGTAAATTAAATTTAACTAGTTTTGCTAGTGTCAGAGAATGTGCTAAACAAATAATTAACACTGAACCAAAAATTCATATATTAATTAACAATGCTGGCGTGATGTTGTGTCCATATGAAAAAACTGAGGACGGTTACGAATATCAATTTCAAACGAATCACTTGGGACATTTTTTGTTAACTTTATTGTTATTGCCAAAAATAAAAGATTCTACACCTGGCTGTAGAATTATTAATGTATCATCAATGATTCATAAAAGTAATTATTTAATATGTTTATCAAAAAAAAAAATTTTATCGTACATTTAAAAAAATTAACTAAATTGTTTTTCAAATTTATAATTATTTATTCTATCTTATTTAGACGGTCATATAAACTGGAATGATTTGAATTTAGAAAATTCATATACACCCATGAAAGGATATACACAAAGTAAATTGGCCAATGTACTCTTTTCAAGAGGTTTGGTACATAAACTCAAAGGTATAATCAACAAAAATGAATTCATTTACTAATATTTATGAAACAATCAAATATTTATTATAATAATTCTTTTCTTTTAATATATAAATTTTTTTTAATTTCTTTTTCTTTTTCCTAATGTAGAGGCTAAAATTGAAGGAATAAATGTGTACAGTTTACATCCAGGTGTAATTGCAACTGAATTAGGACGTCATTTAGATTCAGCTTTTTTCCCAGGAGCTAGAACATTGTTTGGTTTAATTATTGGTACTTTTGTGAAAACACCTGATCGCGGTTGTCAAACAACTATTCATTGCGCAGTTGACGAAGAAGCAGGAAAACAAACTGGATTATATTACAAGTAGAATATTTTTAAAGCATCATTTAATTATCACGTGAAAGAAAATAAATAACAAAATTTCGTAAATACTTTTTAATTTAGGGAAAACGTACATTAAACTGGAAAAAATTAATATAAAATATATATTAAATCTCAGTAAAGATTTTGTAAAATTATTTCCTTAAATTGAAAAATATCTACTATATTTAATAAAATTTTTGTTCAATATTTTCTTTTAGTGTATTACAATAATAATATTAATAGTTTTTATAATTGAATTATTTATTTCAGAGAATGTGCCGTAGCGTCAGCAGCTTCGAGAGCACAAAGCGATGAAGATGCTGCTAGATTATGGAGGAGAAGTATAAAAATGGTCAAATTGACAGAAGAGGAAAATCCTTTTTCGGTTAAGTAAAAGAAAAAAAATTAGTATCACACAATATTTTTATTTAACGTTTGTTAGAGGAGGTTGAAAATTTATTTTTTAATTATTCATTTGAATGAAAATTTTTAAATTCATCTTACAAGTACATAGGTAAATATTTCAGCATGTTTAAAGTGGTTAATTTTTAAAAACCAATTCTACTTACAGTAGAATATAAAAATTTATTATTTATCATATTGGAATCAAATTACATTCAAATTTTTAATTTTTAAATAAATTTTCTTTGTTTTGAATTTGCACGGCACAATAATTCAGTATTTATATATTTCATTGCCGAAACGCACGACAATTAGTGATTTTTTTTTGCTTTAATATAGTAGAATAATAATCACAATTACAAAGCAGAAGTACAAGTATATTATAAGTGTTATAGAGTAATAATAATATAAGAAAGTGAATTTTACACTTATTTAACTAAAGAAAACCTAGAAGTTGAAAGCGAATATTGTGAGAAGACTTTCAAGGTACCATTATGCAATACCTCATATTAAACGACACACTTATATATTTATTTCTTAGACATAATCATTATTGATTCACATACAGTTTATTTGATTATAACAAAACATTATTTGCATCAAGTAAATATTTATTTGATACAATATTTAACTCAGTGTGCACATTTATAAAAGTGTAATTGTTATTAATAACCTGTTTTCTATTTATCCAATTAATCTTTAAACTTGTTAAAAAATTACTGGTTAATATTGGGTAAACAGAAAACAAGTTCAAGAATTGCGTGAAAAGAAATTGTTCTTCATTAATGTTATAATTTCGACTAATACTAATTTGTTTTGTGGGCGAGACAGTAATGATGCAACTTTTATTAATTTTAAATTAATAAAAGATAATATATTTTTCTAAAATTACTTCTATTCTGAGACATTTACAGGGAATATAATAGAGGTAGAACAATATTATTAACTTTCTTTTACTTTCAAAAGATGCTCGCTGATATATACAGTAATGCATTTAGGAAACAAGTTATTCTTTTTTAACAATTGGGAAAGGAACCACTTTTGGTGAAAGTCGTTTTAGAAAGGACAATTACGAAATTAATATTTCTTCATAAACTTCATATTACAATGAACTTTCTTTATTCAAAATACATGTTTACTGTTCTATGGTAACGATACAACTGATTTTCGATGGTTCGTGCCCTTTTATTTATACGTAGTTTTTTAGGATGGACTATTTTTCTTTCCCTAGAGTGAGGATGTTCTGATTGTATTGCATAGTTAAGTTCATTAGAGACTGAACGAAATCTTTGATTGTATTGTTGCACTGTGTCAGTATTTTGTTTAATGGTGTCTAACTTTGCTCTACATATCTCAACTGATGTAGTTGCAATTAAATTTGTTTTTAAACATTGGAACAAATCTTCAAAAGAATCAGTTGCATTATGCCGTATACATCTTTTGGCATTTCCCGAAATTTTTTCAGTCAATATCAAATCTAACAATAGAGATGGTTGTGAACATCTATCTTTTGCTTTCTTGATTGATTTGATAAAATCATTTACTCCAACATCGTAGCTGCCATTTAGATTTTCAATTGTCCTAATAATGTCTTTTGCCATAGATAGTGGTTCGATGTTAATTGGGTGGTCGCGTACATATTTTGGTTTTCGTTGCTTGTCTTCCTTCTTTTCTTCTGAATCTAATGTTGATGGTGTTTGGGTATGTTGGTTGTCGTCATCTGTTATAAGGACTTTGGCATGTCGGGCCAATAGTTTAATTTCTTCTGCTCTCTTTAAATTTTCCCCATTTAAAGTTATGAAATTGTTTTTTAACAATGTCTGTCTCTCTTGAATTATTCTAAGTTGTTCGAAAATTTGTAATAATGGGTCTGTCATTGAGTCCGTTGGCTCATTGTCAGAAGTTGCAAGCCTAAACACCGTAAATATTTCTTACTTAACCCTACCTGATTGTCGTAGCAATCAGTCACCGTTCAACGTATGTAAAAAGGATTTATATTCAAGAAATATTTATAACAAATTTTTGTTTCTAATATTTTATTAGATGAGCTTACGTTGTGATAATGTTGTCTGACGTACAGTTGAAGAGTCGTGGTCCGGACGTATCCTTTGGAACTTCAGGATTCTTCTTTCTTGTACTCGAAATTGCTGTGCACTGTTTCTTCGTAGTAAAAAGCCTACTCAATTTAGCTACCTCTGACAACAGTAGATTTAATAATTCTAGTCCCCGTAGAAACTAGGAGTTGTAAGTTGATTTTGAAAATAGTTCGAAATCAAAGGATTTGTCAATTTGAATGTAGGAGATTATAATACTGTGGTATTATTTTTTTTATTTCTTCCTATACCAATCGTTTGACAAATCCTGGCAGGATCGCCAGAAAATGTAATGGGGTAAAAATAAAGTAGTAGAAATTGTTTAAGTAACCTTAGTTACTATGAACTTTCTTTATTCAAAATACATGTTTACTGTTCTATGGTAACGATACAACTGATTTTCGATGGTTCGTGCCCTTTTATTTATACGTAGTTTTTTAGGATGGACTAATACATGGTATTTTGGGAACGATTATTTTGTTATTAACATTATTATTTATTTATAAAAAAATGTTACGGTGACGTGACAACATGAAGAATTAATTAATACCATTTTTTATATATACTTACCATTTTAATACGATTCTTTCATATAATAAAAAATCTTTTATTATAAAAATGTACACCTTTCCTATATTTTAAAACCTGGTCTCCGATTTGATTTCTGATATCCGCTTGCTGCCCTGCTGGTAAGGTGGACCAAAAACTTGGCCCATACAACTTTTCCCCCCCCATTTTTGTTATAAAAAATCTTCGCTGCTATCTTTAAAACACAAAACATTTCTCTCCCATTGGTTTACTTTGTTATGTCATATTTATTTAAAATTTAAATTATTATTAATTTTGCCTAATCTGAACTTACAATTTTACCCTGTTCTAATTCCTCAATTTAACTTAGTTAAATTAACTAAGTTGGGGAGAGGTTCATTAAATTAATTATTTATAATTATTATTATTTATTTATAACAAAAATGTTACGGTGACGTGACACCCATAAAAAATTTCTTTAGCTGATTAAACCTTCTTGTTCCTATTGGTACTTCGGAAGATTTGATCACGTTGATTGATAAACCCGAATCTACTAATAAACTGTAGATTCTTCCTTCTGGATGTTTGCCTCGGATGAAAAGTAACCGTCCGCATATTGCTGAAATTCGGCTGACACCTCGTATTGGTTTATCTCTTGTCCTTCCTCCAATGATACTATTTCTTCCTCTAAACATGAAGATCTTGTTTTGTTCTCCTGTAAGTCTTCTTGTGTAATTTTGTTTACTTGGAGCGGTCGCTTCTGGTTCTGAGTTGGAAAATTTTGTTTATTGTAACATTGATTTTCTAAATGTCCTGTTTTTTTACAATGATTGCAAAACATTTGTGCACATTGTTGTAACAGTAATCCATAGTTAGGAACATTTGTGGGTTGATTCCTGATGGTTGGTGCATTCCCTCTCTAAAAGTTATTTATTGTAGGACGTCTCATAGATGTGTAGCCAACTGGTTTTTTCATAGTCGCTGCTGTCAATGCTCGGCTTCTTACTTTTTCTCGGCACCAATTCTTTCCGTTAAGAGCTTTTTGAAAAGCTGAATTTAAATTTGTAGGTTTGAATGGTCTAACCTGGTTATTAATATTGTCTATTAAGTTCATCACTATGTTTTTGCTTGGGTTAGATAGTTAAGTTCATTAAAAGCTGACCGACACCTTTTTTTATATTGTTGGACTGTACCGATATTTTACTTTATTGTTTCTAATTTTGCTCTACATACTTTGACTGAAGTACTTGCAATTAGATTAGTCTTCAAACATCTAAATAAATCCTTAATTGTTATTTATTAACATTCATTTTTTATACATAATTGTTTGTTTTTATGTTTAATATTTATAAATAATTGTTTTCTTACAAATATTTGTTTATTTAGAAACAATTATCTATTTATTTAACAAATTTATTAAAAACTTACTCAATTCGACCACCTCTGATTTATTTTATACAATTATTTATTTATATTTATTTATAACAAAAATGTTACGGTGAAGTGACACATTATTTTATAAACATTAATTGATTTTATTATTAATTGTTATTCATTAACCTTTATTTGTTTATAAATAATTGTTTATATTCATGTTATGTCCTAATTTAAATTATTATTTATTAAATGTTTTACACTTTTCCTAATTTATTAACTTTTAATGTTCCGACAAACTTCTGTATATGTTTTTTTTAAAACTGAACTGTATATATTTGGTAATTAATGTGAATGGGAAGGTTCCTTTTTATATAGGGTAAAAGGAACAGTGACCAACATCCTGACAGTGAACGACATCTGCTATTAAAAATAATAGTACATAAATTTAAAATCGCTAATAAATTAATTAATATACTTTTTTTTGTACATTAAATCTGAATAATAAAATTTGTGATAGTATTAATAAATATCTTGTTACTTAAATAGTAGTTTAAATATTTTTTTATTTTATTAAAGGGTGTCATTCACTGTTGTCATACCATACATTTTTAAATTAATATTATAAACTCTTATCAAAGTGTTTTTTAATTTTAAACTTATATACTATAAATTTTAACCCTAATCTTTTATTAGAAATTTATTTTATAACTAAATCTTTAATAAATTCCAATAAAATGTCATTTAAAGTTGAAAGTATGTCCAGGGTGTCGGTCACTGTATCCATTACCATAGAATGATTTTTGTAGGTCGCTCTTCCAATGGTACCAGTTAGCCAAGGCAGATTTTTTGAGCGACGTAATCAGACAGATCTAAAAAATATTGGTGATCCTTCTTTTTGGTAGTAGTGGCTCACACATATGATTTATTTACAAGTATTTGTTTATTTACAAATACTTGTTTATTTACAAATACTTGTTTATTTACAAATACTTGTTTATTTACAAATATTTGTTTATTTATAAACAATTATTTATTTGCAATTATATTTAATTAATTCTTATGTCATAATTTCTTAAAATTTTTTTTTGATTTTTATTAATTTTACCTACACTGAACTTATAATTATTCCCTACTCTAATCCCTCAATTTTACTTGGTTAAATAAACTAAATTAGGGAAAGGTATTAAATGAAGGATTTATAATTAAAAGATTATTGTTTTAAACAATGGTATAAACAATTGTATATTCTTTAATAATTAATAAGTTGTTTAGAGAAAGACAGGAAAACACTCATTAATTTTAAAGGTTCATATTATTAACCTTTAAAAAAGCTGTGTGATGATTCTTCAATTAGTTTTTCCTTTTTCAAACACCGGGTCTTCTAAGATTATATCTTTTAAGTCTTAATATTTTTATTACCGCATTAACACTGGTATATTTTATGCTGGACCGTAACTGACGAAAACTTCTGAATATGTAATATTTTAACTTGTGAACTATGATGACACTTGTGTATCTTCGATATATATATTTTGAAACTGTATTTGACACTCGCTACGATGAACTCCGTGCGTATAATTTGGGACTGCCTTCAATGTGAAAGGTTTCCCTTTATATTGTTATGTCATATTTGATAAGAAAAATTTAAATAATTTTTAATTCAACCTAAGCAGAACTTATAATTATTCCCTATGCTAATTACTCCATTTAACTTAGTTAAATTAACTAAGTTGGGAAGAGGTTTATTAAATGAATGATTTAAAAAATATAATATAAAAATTATTTATTTAAAAAAATGTAGAATGTTCTCAACAATTAGTGTTATACAATCAAATAAATCCTTGTTTTTAAAAGGTTCATATTTTACCTTTAAATAATCTGTGATGATTCTTCTATTGCTTCTCTTTCTCAATCACCGGGTTTCCTCTCGGTCTCCTCAGATTGTATCTTGTGAGTCGTTAAACTTTTATTACTGTATTGACATTGGAAACTTTTAACTGATGTACTATGACGACACTTGTGTATATTTTAAAACTATATTAGATACACCATTGTTTACTTGCAAATATTTGTTTACAAATATTTGTTATTAATAATAATATTATAATATTATACTGTTCAATACATGCAAGACATTCTGATGCCTTGCATCTAGCTGTAACTAATTCTTCCCTGCATATATGTGTGACGGTTTCGTCAAATAAAGTTAATAAAACAAATAATATATTTTCGTTAAGATATTTTATTTGGAAACGAGGTCTTTGCCGTAGCAAAGGTTTTACAACGAATAGATTTTTATTTTCATATCGCCTTTTTATATTATGAAAAAGAGGTCATTTTTTTAATATTACAAGAATATTTATTTTATTCAAATTAATTATTAATAATAATTATTATTTATTTATAAATATATTTGTTTATTTATAAACAGTTGTTTAATTACAAATATTTGTTTATTTAAGGACAATTATTTATTTACAAATATATTTATTTATTTAATAAAATTAATTATTAATAATTATTATTATTTGTTATAATTGTTATAATTGTTCAATACATGCAAATCATTCTGATGCCTTGCATCCAGCTGTAACTAATTCTTCTCTGCATATATGACAATAAGTAAATATACGGTTAACATTGGCAATCGAGTGCCATTCAAAAAATTCTGTGTATTTTTCCTTATCTGTATCGTTTAGGGTTTCATAACAAAATGAACAAAGCCTAACCTCTGTTTTTTCGTTAAAATATAAAAATAAAATATACGGCGCCATTTTCATGCAAGAGCATGCTAATAATAGGCTGTAAATCGCTGGATGTTCGATTGGTATTACACCGTCAATTGTTTTATTTGGAATAACTTTAGGAATATCTTTAGTAGTGTTATGTCATAAATATTATTTTTTTACTAGTCTAAACTTATAATCGTTCCCTATTCTAATTTCCTCAATTTAACTTAGTTAAAATTACTAAGTTGGGAAGAGGTTTTACTAAATGAATGATCTAATATTATTGTTATGTCAAAAAATTTAAATTACTATTAATTTTGCCTAATCTAAACTTACAATTATACCCTGTTCTAACTCCTTAATTTAACTTAGTTAAATTAACTAAGTTGGGGAAAGGATTATTAAATGAATGTTTAAAAATAAAAATTATTTGTTCAAAAAAAATGTAAATGTTCTTAATTGACAATCAAATATTTAGAAAATCTATTTAATTACATTTGGTAAAACTACCTTATTTTATATTGTGGCGGAGTTTCCCAATCTTCGTTTCTTGGCACCTGACTTTGATCTTCTATTGAGGTAATTAAGATTTTATTACTGGAAACCTTTTAACTGATGACGACACTTTAAAACTGTATTAGATTCTCGTCACTATGTATGTTGTACGTATAAATTTTGAGACTGTATTTGACACTCGATACGATGAACTTTGTACGTATAATTTGGGACTGCCTTCTTAGTGAAAGGTCTCCCATTATATAGTAATATTTTCCAATGTATTTCTCGCAGCGGGACCAGTTCGCCTCTATGGGTAGATTCAATGTCGGGACCTCACAGACACGAAAAATCTTTATTGCTTTTTCTTTTAGTAGTGGTGACTCCATAATAGATTTCCTGCTTTTTTAGATCGTCTTTTCTAATTTTAAATATTAAGAACATCACACCTTTATGAAATATAATAATTTTACATATTGATTAATATTAATTACATTGATTATTTCTGTCTATATATTTAGTTTTGATAACAATTATTTTTGTTTATAAATACATTTGTTATTTATAAACAATTGTTTACTTGCAAATATTTGTTTACAAATATTTGTTTATTTATAAACGCTCATTTATAATTTAATATTACAAGAATATTTATTTTATTAAAATTAATTATTAACAACAATTATTATTTATTATAAAAAAATGTGACGGTGACATGATTATATATTATATATTTGTTTATTTATAAATATATTTGTTTATTTATAAACAATTGTTTATCCACAAATATTTGTTTACAAATATTTGTTTATTAAAGAACAATTATTTATTTACAAATATATTTATTTATAAAAGAATTTATTTTATATAAATATTTATTTATTAATTATTAATTATTATTATTTTTATAAAAAATGTTACGGTGACGTGACACTTATTACATTATTATTTTATTATATATTTAATATTTATAAATAATTGATTTAATCCCAAATATTCGTTTTATTTATAAATAATTGTTCATTCATAAATAATTGTTTATTTATAAATAATTGTTTATTTATAAATAATTGTTTATTTATAAATAATTGTTTATTTACAAATAATTGTTTATTTATAAATAATTGTTTATTTACAAATAATTGTTCATTTATAAATAATTGTTTATTTACAAATAATTGTTCATTTATAAATAATTGTTTATTTACAAATATTTGTTAACAAATATTTGTTTATTTAAAAACAATTATTTATTTCCAAATGTATTTTTTTTTTAAATTAATTTTACATAAAAATGTTACGGTGACGTGACATTATGTCCTAATTTAAATTATTATTTATTAAATGTTTTACACTTTTCCTAATTTATTAACTTTTAATGTTCCCCTAATGTTCCCACAAACTTCTGTATATGTTTTTTTAAAAACTGAACTGTATATATTTGGTAATTAATGTGAATGGGAAGGTTCCTTTTTATATAGGGTAAAAGGAACAGTGATCAATATCCTGACAGTGAATGACATCTGCTGTTAAAAATAATAGTATATAAATTAAAAATCGCTAATAAATTAATTAATATACTTTTTTTTGTACATTAAATCTGAATAATAAAATTTGTGATAGTATTAATAAATATCTTGTTACTTAAATAGTAGTTTAAATATTTTTTTATTTTATAAAAGGGTGTCATTCACTGTTGTCATATACCATACATTTTTAAATTAATATTATAAACTCTTATGAAAGTGTTTTTTAATTTTAAACTTATATACTATAAATTTTAACCCTAATCTTTTATTAGAAATTTATTTTATAACTAAATCTTTAATAAATTCCAATAAAATGTCATTTAAAGTTGAAAGTATGTCCAGGGTGTCGGTCACTGTACCCATTACCATAGAATGATTTTTGTAGGTCGCTCTTCCAATGGTACCAGTTAGCCAAGGCAGATTTTTTGAGCGACGTAATCAGACAGATCTAAAAAATATTGGTGATCCTTCTTTTTGGTAGTAGTGGCTCACGCATATGATTTTTTGTAATTGTCTTTCACAATTATCAACAATTAGAAATATAAAATCTCTATATACATTTCAACAAAATTATCTATTACATAGATTTTATGGATATTAATACACGAATTGATATTAATTAGTTACATGATTAAACATTATTTTTTTGATTTGATGATTAATTGTTATTTATTAACACTTATAAATAACTATTTATTTACAAGTATTTGTTTATTTACAAATACGTGTGTATTTCCTGTTCTTTTATGTTTGATAGTATTATAAACAAAAGTAATGAATTGCTGTTTTCATAATTGTACGTTTCACAGTTCTAAAATAAGAAGGTAACAAAAACTTTAAAAATTTTGGTGCACCAGCAACTCTAAATGAAAAATTTCTATATTCAGTTAAATTAATATTCATTTAAAAACTCATGGTAAATATTAAATATAAAATTACTTTAATATAGAAATTTTTCGTTCTATTTTCTAGAACAATATTACAGAAAAATTTTCAAAAAAAAGTTCTAGACGGGATTTGTTGAATAATTATGTATCCAGATAATAAGAGAAATTGTAGAACTCTGATCTTGTTTTATTATAGAACAATTATTACAATAATGTATACGTGCACACTGGTTAGCAAAATCGATGATTTAAATAAAATTATTTTATTATAGGTATTAATCGCATATTGTCATATAGACTAAATAGTATTTTTTTATACTAAATTTTAAAAATTTATTTGTTATGAATAATTTAATGTATATTTCATTGTATCTTAAGTCTTTGTTATTTGTAAAAAAAAATTCTGTTACCAAATAAAATTAAATGTTTTAAAATAGTCATTTTTAACTTTTTTACATTTTCATCCTTATGAGAAGATATAACACCGTCCGACAAATTTCAACAAAACAATCAAACATTTTCGGAAACTAGGACCAAAAAAAAATACCCGTATCTGGCCGTTTTTCTAGATCAAGTCGTTTATGGCTTTTAGGGGTGAAAACAAACCCTAAATTAAAAGTGACAAGATATCTTTTAAAAATTATTAATATTTTATAATACTTGGTATCGTGAGAGTTTTCGGAGTCGCTGATTATGAATCTGATGTCAGATTTTCAAAATTCAAAATGGCGGATCCAATATGGCAGTAAAAAAAATCCACCATTTTGAATTTTTAAAAATCTGACTTCAAATTCGTCATCAGTGACCCCAAAAACCTCTAGATACCAAGTTTTAAAAAATATTAATAATTTTTAAAAGATATCTTGTCACTTTTAATTTAGGGTTTGTTTTCACCCCTAAAAGCCATAAACGACTTGATCTAGCAAAAAGGGGACACCATTAACCTTATTGAAAATATTAAGGTTATGTTGGGAAAAAACCCACGTGATCCAATACACGAAAAAGTCATTTCGTACTTTCCAAGTTTCTCTGAAATGAGAAAAGGACTTGAGCTGAGATTTTGAGAACTAATAAAGAAAAGTACAATCTTCTCCTTATTAAGCGTAAATTTGCAAAGAGATATTTAAAAAAAAGTTTCAAATGTGATATTTTCAATAAAAGTGACTGGCATTATGGAGGTACATGGTGCCACTTTTCGGACTCTCATACACGGAAAAACATTTTATGTTAAAAGACAATAAAAATGTAAGCATAATTTCATACTGTACTATTCAAAGTCAATATTGAAAATTGATAGTCTTTGTGAATTTTGATATAAAATATAAACTGATAAAAATTGTGAGTCACTCATAAAAGAATGGTAACGATTGTTACATGTCTACATCTAACTCTAAACTTCGGAAACTCTCTGTCGCTCTTTCCATTTTTATTCCTCGAGGAATAAAAATGGAAAGAGCGACAGAGAGTTTCCGAAGTTTAGAGTTAGATGTAGACACTTGCATTGACTATAGCATTTCACATTCACACTAAGATAAATCCATAAACAACCTACTGTAACTTACTGCATTTAACGGTCAAACTTTTACTATACACCTGAATACATATAACCGTCGCACACACGCAACATCAATGAATGGTAAAAGTAAAATTTTCTTTATATTGTATCACCTATATACAAAGCGACAGAATTTATTTCCGTTGATGAGAAATAATTGTTATAATAATTTCTCAATAAAATAATATGTTGTATAATATTTAATATATTATAAATAATAAGTTATATGTTTGCAAATTTTCAATTTTTGGAATAAAAATTTATTTTCAAAATATTAAATTAGGATCAGCTGGAATTATTTAACTTTCCTGGAACAATTTTATGGGATGGTAGAAAATAGAATAGGAGAATGTATCCATGATTTTTAATAAACAATTAGTTAGCATTGCAATTGTTTATTAACAATCTACTTATCTAAAATACTTCATATAGGGCTCGTTGAATGCGGAATTACTATTTTCGAAACTGAGATGAGAATTTCGAAATTCTAAAATTCAAAATGGCGGATCCAATATGGTGAACAAATTTTTAAAAAATTGTTGGATTTTTATGAAACTTGGTACCTGCGGGTTTTCGAGGTCGCTGACTCAAAATTTAGGTCATTTTTGGCGGAGGAGGGGAAATGAGAGGAGGGAGGGACTTGCGGCTATATTCAGAGCCATGAAACGAACATAACCTCAAAATTTATGTCATTTCAGGCGGGGAGGGGAGAGGACTTGCGGCTATATTCAGAGCCTTGAAACGAACATAACCTCAAAATTTAGGTCATTTCTGGCAGGGAAGGGGAGGGGACTTGCGGCTATATTCAGAGTCTAGAAACGAACATAACCTCAAAATTTTCAAGACTGTGAATATAGTCGCAAGCCCCCACTCCTTCTTTACGTTGAAGGAAAGGGGGATTTCCCTTGAAATTGAACTAAATTTTAAGGTTAAGTTATTTTGTATGAAAACAACCAAGAAACAAACATAACCTCAAAATTTAGGCCAAAATTTGGCGCAAAAAGACAAAGAAACAAACATAACCTTAAATGTAGGTCAAATTTTAGCTGGAAAATTTAAAAAATTAGATAAATTTTGTTTTAAAAATTAAAAATAATAAAAATTATTGTTAATAAAAATCGTAAATAACATTTAAAGAAATAAATAATAAAATATTAATGATAGTTTTAAATTTCAGAAATTGGCTAATCATTAACTCAAACATCTACAAAACGAATAAGAAATAGGGGGTTGGCGCGCGAAGCCCCTCTAGTATTGTATATATATATAATTATTACTACTTGTAAAACATAAAGTACTTTTTCTATTTTTGGGCGCCATCTGGAATACGCCATTTTGAATTTTGTAATTCTGACGTCAGATTCGTGATCCAAAACCCCCTAGAAAAAATCTATATACTCTATAAATCTGAATCAGTCATATTTTACTGATTAGCAGTATAGGATTCTACTAATTGCCATAGCGAGAATTGAGCAACTGATAATTAGTAGAAATTTACTAATTCAATTAGTAAAATATCAATTACTGATTGAATCAGTAATATAAATAAAATCTACTAATTTAATAGTTAATTTTAAAGATTATGTTATATTCAAATTACTGATTTACTATTTTACATTACTTATTTTCTATTTTGCTTGTATATTCACTAATTATATGTATTAGTAAATTTCAAAAAATAACTGAAACTTTAGTTAAAATGAAAAGTACTGATTGAATAA